CCCTTGCAGGCTGGAGCTCTGCCAGCCTGCAAGGGGAAATCCATTGTTTCCCATGTTTTTCTCCTTTAAAGGGGAAAATCTGGGTTTTTCTCCTCAAAATGAGAAAATCTGGGTTTTACTGTGTTTTTTCGTGGCAAATTGAAAACCCAGCTCCCTGGTCATAACTAGGGTTCTATGAAGTGGTCCCATTAAACAAAGGGTTTTTTTCAAATTTGTTTTTAATTTTCTTCTGTGTGTGTTTAGGCACTGGGGAGCACTTTAGGATGTGAGAATTCAGGAATTCTCTTTACTTTTGATAAAGATCTACTTTTGCTTGACTTCATTGATCAGTTTTGAAGCACCTATCCCACTGCCTGTGCATAGTTGTAGACAACAGTGTGATAAAAATGTACTTAAAATGGAAAATCAGATGCACCTTTCAGTCTTGGAGTAGCAGCTGCCACTCTAAGATAAACTGTGAACACCCATAACACTTCAACGTTGTTATTTTTCTTTAAAATTTATGTACTTGTATTTGAACTACTCTTTTTTCAGGTTCTCCTGAAGTGGAGATATAGTGTTGATCATCTCTCAACGTCCATGGAAATTTCATACTCATATTAATTTAATTTTGTGCGGCAAGGGATATTTTAATTTCCATAGTTTTCACAAGTGCCTTCCTACTTTGCACATCATCATGGAGCTGTCTCATTGCAGGTTTCTCAGCCATACTTAAAAACAATGCAGTGCTCTTCTATTTATGGCATGCTGTCATCATTGGTGCTTTAATGGTAACACTAGTCATTTAGTTGGTGTTTTAGCTGTCAATTTTTTTTTCTTCCTGGAGAAGTTTTTCTAACCAGGTTATTTACATGGCTTTTGGCATTAAGTAACACTTCATATCTGTTGCACACTCTAGAATTTGTTTAAAACTGTAAAAACTTTTAGAGTCACAAAGATTTGAACCAAGGAGGAGTCAGAACTAGGAGATTCTGCAACTTGCACAGTGCAAACATGGAGAGCTGTGTTTTGGGGTTACTAGAGCCCCCATCAGGGTTTGTGCCCTTGTGCTTCTAGGTTACATAGCTACAGGTATGCTCCAACCAGCCAATTTCTAGTGTCAAATTTGAATATTCAAGGTATGAAATCAACTAGAATTATAGTCAGTTTAAAAAATCGGTTTGATATATCAGTTTGCTATATCTTTCTTCTTTTTTTGTGACTATAAAGTCACAGAAATTGAAAAGAATTAATGTTTTCCTATTACTACATTTTTTCTCTTTTCTTATACAGGAGATGAATTGATTAACCCCATGTCAGAAGTAGTCAAATTGATTTACATATGCACCTATGCACACAGTTACATGCAACAGAGAATTTTTTGTCCCCTCGTTTGTTTGTAACCTTAGAAAAGTGAGGCTGGCAAGGACATCTGAAGGTCATCTAGTCCAAGTGCCTGCTCAATGTTGGACTGTTTTGTTCAAGTGTTTGTCTAACCTGTTCTTAGAAATTTCCAAGGTTGGAGATTTATATAACCTCTCTAGGTAATCTGTTCCAATGATTAATGACCCGTTTGAACGTGTTGGTTCATCTTTTTTTTATACTAATCTTTTACTCTCTTAGTTTTATCATTTGTATAGTTTCCAGTAGGATCCCATCTCAGACAAATAAGGCTGGAATTTGAGGTCTAGTCCAACCTCGTCCAAGATCATCTCTATCTAAACCATGCCAGGTTTATTTAGCCTGTACTGTAGCACATGTAATGATGGAGATCTCATATTCTCACTAGGAACTAGCCTCATAGTTAGAAAGTTATTTTTATAGCTAACTTTAACCTCCCTTATTGCAATTTAAGTTTATTATTGCCTGTCCTGTCTCTTTGGACACTCAGTCCAGCCGTTTACCTCTTCTCTCTCTAACAACCTTTTTTTGTTTGTTTGTTTGACTCAGGACTGTTATCAAGTCTTCCCTTTTGCCTCTTCCCTGGAAGAAATCATCCTAACTTCTCCAGTTCTTCATATATGATACTTTTTAAACCTCTATTTTTTGCTCTCCTCTGTACTCCTCCTCCATGTGTTCACACTTTTCTTGAAGTGCGATATCTAAAACTGGACCCAATGCTCTAAGTGAGCCCTCGCCTTTTCTGAATACAGTGGAAGTATCAATCCCCATGGCCTACATATGGCCCTTTTGTTAATACATCCCAGTATGTGGTTAGTGGTTCTTGCTTGTTTTTTATTTGTTTTCAGTACTACCTGGTTGACTCATACGTGGCTTTCTGTCCTTTTGTGCAGTACTGAAGGGTAGCTAGTTTCCGTTCTTTGTATTTGTGCATTTCTCCTTCCTAACTGCAATACTTTGTACTTGTCCCCATTGCATTTTACTCCATTTTATTTCAGACCATCTTTACAATTTGTTAGGGTCATTTTGCATTCTAATCCTATTTTCTAAAGTGTTTGCTACCCCATCCAATTTGGTGTCATCTACAGATTTCTTAAATGCACACTCAGTTCTTCCCTCCAAATTATTAATAAAGGTATTGAACAGAGATAATAGCCAATAGCTCAGCAATTATTTAAGCCAATTATTTGGGTACTCTACAATGAATTTCATTAGGACCTGCTCATTTGAAAACAACTATTCGATTTTAGTAAACCTTACCTTCTTCTTTCCCTGCTCACGACTGCGTGCCTTCTCCCTGTTCATACTTCTAACTGCGCCTGTTAGCTGATAGTTGACCTTTTTGTGAGGACTAAAGTAAAAAAGGCTTTAGAGACCCCTTATTGTTCATTGTTAGCTTCCCTTCCTTGTTCAATAAGGACCTTACCTTTTGTGTTGTCCTGTTACTTTTAAAGGGTTAATTGAATACCTTTCTGTTATCCTTTGTT